GAACATTCCCACCTGTGTTTTCATCATGGGCAAGAGTATCCTTCCTTCTCAGTACCAATTGATAAGTGTTTGGAAGATCAAAGAATAACACTTTTTGGAAGAAGGAACAAGAAACAATTCTTTTGGAAGAAGGAACAAGAAACAATTCTTGTATCAGTCTGTGTTTTGCATGACCTCCCGAATTTTTCCAAGTTATTGTCAAGTAGGTCTGTAACTTGAAAGTATCTGCTCATTTATTTTTATTCCTCCTTGTAGTGAGAGGTAAGATCACAGTAGTAAACTGCTTTCACACTTTGGATACATGTTCTCATTGCACAAATACTACACTGTCAATTTGTAAACTGCTGCAGAATCATGGGAGTTTGGAAAAATGATAACTAATTCTTTTCTGGCTTAGAAGATAAATTCAGTCATGGAAAAGAATTCATTTTCAGACCATCTCAGATATTTGTCATCTTTTTTTTTTTTTTCATTTCAATAGCAATGCATTATTACTACAAAGTGTGAAAAATTTCATTCAAGAGTGACTTTATCCAAGACATTATCTAATAGAACAGCTGGTACTCTTGTTCACATTGACCCTGTTTTTTGCAGACCTTTCACTTGCCCTTGTTATAAGGCAAAGCAGGGTCTAAGTTACTTGTATTATTTATTTAGCTCATAGTCTGTTATTACATTTGATGACATCATACACAGGAACTGAAGACAGAGTTTTCCATGTGCCATTTGAGTCTTAAATTACATAGTTAATTTAATCTCATTTTTAACTACTGAAAATACTCCCAAATTGTGCGGTTGACATTTTTAATATATCTGTGTACATATAAAAATACATGTATATGGTTTCAGATAATTCTACTTTTGGTCCAAAAAGCAGATTTGAAGTTCTAATCTTGTTAGTTGCAGAAGACAAACCTAGCAGTGTAGAGAGAAGACTGAGTTGAGTTTGGTGGTAGCTTGTGAATATTTCTGACTCTAAACAGAATCATATACTATTTACAGTTGTCTTTTGGACGCAGGTGCATTGTGGGAAAGTAACCCACCACTGAAGTCACACAAATCCTTTGCTTCAAGTCTTTTAGTCACATAGTAAGAAATTAACAATGCTGTATTTGTTTTCTTTTTAATATTTCTCATATTTCTTATTCTCATTCTGTAGGAATGCATTCTAATCCAAGGACACATTCTCATGCATTCATTAATCCTTGTGCTCCAAAACGATTCACATGAAAATTCAAAATCAGATGGTTTCATGTGTTCCAACTTAGCTTTTGCTAAAACAGGGTCATCCTTGAACTTGTCATCTGCTGAGGTATTGAATTCCCTATTTGACTCAATTACATGATCTTAAGAATGTGGCCATTTGCCATTTCTGTCTCAACTCTGAACACATGTTTTTGCATCTAACTGTTCAGCTTTAGGAATCCCTCAATTATAAATGACCTACTGAAAAAAAAAGAGTAAATCATTTAAGGAGCTACCTAAGTAATACATAAAAATGCTTCTGTTTAAAGATAAAGTATTATTAATGTAATTTTCTGGTGATGACAAGTTTTAACTCTTTAATGTCTGAGTTTAATTTTAATTTAATTTAATACTACAATGTCTGAGTTACAAATAGTTTATAGAGTAAAATATTTCTTTCATTGTAAGAAGAATTTTTATGCATTTAATGAAGTTGTAATCAAGGCAATATTTTGAGAGAAGTAGTTGTCATTTTCTTCTCATTTAAAACAGTATCCTAATGTGGAATAATTTAATTGTAAAAAAAATTTTGATATGTATTTATTGTGTTACTCAGTTTTCTTTTTTTATTATTTTGAGAGAGACAGAAAGAGAGAGAGAGAGAGACAGAGAAAAGACAAAGAGAGAGGGAGAGACAAAGAGAGAATGAGCGGAAGAGGGGCAAAGAGAGAGAGAGAGAGAGAGAGATAATATCCCAAGCAGGCTCTGCACTGCCAGCACAGAGCCTGACATGGGGCTTGATATCACCAACAGTGAGATCATGACCTGAGCCAAAATCAAGAGTCGGACACAACCTACTGAGCCACCCAGGAGCCCCTACTCAGTTTTCCTTTAAAATGAAGTAGACTGATATTAGTTTCAGATATTTATAATTAAATGATTGAATCAAATTAAACATGTATTTGTCTTCTCTGCTGGACTAAAAACTCTTGAGGGCACAGATTACGTCCTGTTCATTCCTCAGATGAATAGTTGACTAGGACAGAGTTTAGCGGATAGTAGGCGCTCAGTAATGTTGAACTGATCTGAATGAACCTTTATGTGGCCAGATGTAAACCTATTGTATAACCCCTATTGATTATTTATATATATATATATATTCAATAGGGGTTTTGATACATTTAATATATCTGCATATTATGAGATATTTTATGATTTTGGCTTTTCAGATCACTTTCACATAGTTATATCATTTGAACCTTTTGGGGTGGTGGGCCTAAGAAATTAGTCCATTTTTCTTTTTTTCTTTTTTTTAAGTTTATTTTTGAGAGCGAGAGAGGGAGAGAGACAATCCCAAGCAGGCTCCACACTGTCAGCGCAGAGCCTGACCTGGGGCTGGAACTCACGAACTGTGAGATTGTGACCTAAGCCAAAATCAAGAGTCTGCAGCTTAACCTGTTGAGCCACCAGGTGCCCCAGTCCATTTCTCTTGTTTGAAGTCATACTCCTGGTTAATTTCATAGCAGGAACTGGAAACCAGTTTTTTTTTTTTTCCTTTAAAAAACTTGCAGTTTCTTTACCCTATTCTTACTCACCCTTTTATGAGAAATATGCGAGGTGGGTCAAATTGCCTCTTTGCAAAAAAAAAAAAAAGCCTTGTTAATTCAGCTTGCAGAGGAAGAGTGTTGAACAAACTCTCCTACCCACACAACAGGAAAAAAAAAAAAGTCAAGAAGCTGGAAACTAATGACTTTTCTTGAACCCATGAGAGAATTGAGATTGCAGGGCAACAGCTCTCCTGAGATGTGGGGAGAGACAAGCGCTTGCGAAGAAAGATGTTGTCAAAGTCCAAATAAGCCAAAAAGAAGACCCAACCAGGTATGTTTAATGAATTGCTAAAGGCCGAGTGGGAATGTAAAGTTCCTGGAGGCTGAAGACATGTGTGTGTATAGGAAGTCTCACTCTTGAAGGATTTTCCTTTAGGAATTCACAGGGAAAGTTGGGGAGAAGCCCAAGAAAACAGCCCCCGTGATACTGGCTGAAGCAGGGGAAAGAACAGAAGCCGCTACCGACTTGCAGCCAGACTCCTCTTCGCTATCATCTCTGAGGAACAAGAGCCTTAACGTGCAGGGAAACGGGAACAAAAGTGGAGACAGAGGTCCTCGGGAGGGGGGTGGGACTCTGTGTCGGCCCATTATAACCTCTGGAGAAGGAGCAAGAATACTTGAGAATGTCCCAGATGCAAGACCACAATGGCTGCCTACATCTGAGGCTTCTTAAGAATGCCTCCTTCTGCCAGTCCTCCTTCTTCAACACAGTGGAGACTAGTGGCAACACAGTTAGGAGTGGAATACAGCTAGGAGAGCTGGAAGAGCCAAATTCTGTCTCTGTTGCGCAAAGGAGAATGCCAAAGCCCCTCGGAGATCCGAAGCCAGTAAGGAAGCAAGCTTCAAACCCAGACCACCTTCTGACTAGATTCAAATGAACACCTACACTAACAACTCAGCGGAAGGAAAGGTGTGCTCATCTCCAAGCATAACAATTCTTTATCTCCACATATATCCTCTTGTATAATAAGTCCAACTTTCAACAAAAAAAAAAAACATGAGGCGTACAAAGAAGGAAGACAAAACACAGTTTACAATGGCGAAGAAGTTAACAGAGCCAGACTCAGATGTGACCTACCTGTTGAAGCTATCAGATGGGGAATTTAAAATAGCTATGGTTAATATGTTAAAGGCTCTAATGGAAAAGGTAGACAACATGCATGGTCAGGTAGATAACGTTGAGCAGAGACCCGGAAACTAAAAAAGAATAATTCAGTAACAGAGATGAAGAATGCCTTCAACAAATCAAAAACATAGCTTTGACATAGCTGAGGAAACAGCAAGTGAGCTTGAACATGTAGATCAATAGAAATTGCCCAAAGTGAAACACAAAGAGAAAAAAAAAATGTGGAAAAATAGAACACAGCATCCAAAAGCTGTGGGACAATATCAAGTGATACAGCCCAGGCATAAATGGAAATGTCAGGAGAACAAAGAGAGAAGAGGGGATGAAAAATATTTGAAGAAATAATGAGTAAGAATTTTCCAAAAACCCAGCCCCGGTGAACATCATATTCAGACTTCTGAAAGCCAAAGACAGAAAACCTTAAAGGCAACTGGAGGAAAAAATGATACTACATCAGGGTAACAAGGATAATAATTACAGTAGACCTCTCAGTAGAAACCCTGCAGACAAGAAGACGGTGGAATGGTGTCTGTAAAGTGCTATAAAGGAGGAAAAAAACTGACTTAAAAATATATTTCAAAGGTGAAGCAGACACTTTTCTCAGACAAATAAAATTTCAAACAAACCTTTCAAATAACAAGTCTTTCTCAGACAAAGACAAAGAAAAATTAATGTAATTTAATAACCACAGATCTGCTCTATAAAGAATGTTAAAAGAAGTTCTTCAGCTAGACGAGGTATGATATGATTAAAAAAATACTTGGATTTATGCAAAGAATGCAGAGTGGAGGTCAACGGGATATTTTTTTCTTATATTTAATTGCTCTACAAGCTAACTATTTAAAGCAAAAAGTTGTATTAATGTGTTTATCCTAGTGAGAAAAGAGCAGTGCATGACAACAGTGGTACAAGGAGAGGAGAATTGGGGAATGTATCGTTACATTGTGTATGAAGTGGCATAATGTTATTTGCAGATAGACTCGCAGACCATTAAAAGTTAAATGTTAAACAAGAGGTATCAGTCCTCTGTGGAGAAGACACTGAGACCAGCTCCTGACTCACCACTTTTCCTTCTTGCTCAGGAAATCATGCTGCAGCCGTGGGGCAGTCATGGCTCTCAAGGATGCCGGAAGGACTGGTGGAATCAGAGGGAGGCAGTTCACGGAGTTAGAATCACCCAAACCATCCACGATGTAAAATCCCTGCAAGTGTGCATGACTGGACCAGAGGTGCAAAGGAAAAGAACCTTCAAATGAAAGGACTGGCTGGGATGCCTACCAAGACTGAGAATCACCATGAGAAAATTTGGTGGTGAAGGATCCAGGCATGGCAGCATTTCTAGATGCAGATCATTGACTTGCGCCGTCCTTCCAAGATTGATAACCACATTACTTCTATCGGCATTGAGATTGAAGTGATTATTGCAGATGCTTAAATCAACTATTTTAGTAATTATCCACTGTTAAAAAAAGAGGCATAAATAAGAGGCATAAATAACTATTAAAATGGAATAATAAAAATCTCACTAATTTAGAGAAGGCAGAAAGTGAAATAAATAAATAAATAAATAAATAAATAAATAAATAAAACAAGAAAAAATAGAGCATATAGAAAACAGCTAGCAAGATCATAGGTTTTAATCCAACCATCACAATAATCAGTTAAAAGCAAAGATTATTAGATTGGGTATAGAAATAAGACTCAGTTACCTGTTGCTACAGGAGACTTACTTTAAATATAGACATAAACAGGTTAAAAGTAAAAGCATATACTATGCTAACAGTGTTACTCCTCTCTCCCACAAAACAAAACAAAACAAAACAAAAAAAGAAAAAAAGAAAGAAAAGAAGGAAAGAAAAAAGAAAAAAAAAACAAACCTGGAGTAGCTGTGTTAAATTTAGTCAAAGCAGACTTCAGAGCAAGAAACATTGTCGGATATAAAGTAGACCATTACATAATGATAAAAGGATAAGTTCTCTGAATGCACCTAACAGTCCTGAAGGTGAACGTATGTAATAGCAGCGTTTCACAATACACGAGGCAAAAACTGGTGAGTCTGAGAGGACATACGGACAAATCCATAATTATCACTGGGGACTGCAGCACTTTTTTTATACTTGCTCACAGAACAAATAGCCAAAAAATCAGTAAGGATATAAATGATCTGAACAGCACTATCAATCAACTTGACTTAAGTGGCATCACTGCATCAAAGAACTTCAGAATACACATTCTTGTTAAGTGCACATAGAACATTCACCAACATAGACCATATTCTGGGTCACAAAACAAACACATCTAAAAGAACAGACATGATACCAAGTGTGTTCTCAGATTATTACAGAATTATATTAGAAATCAAAAAAAGAAAGATATCTGGAAGATCTCTAAATATTTGGAAATTAAACAATGTATATTTCTAAATAATCCATGAGGCCAAAAGGAAGTAAGCCTCAGGGGAATTCTAAAATATTTTGAACCCTCAACAATAGGAAAGCAAGCAACCCAATTAAAACAGGACAAACGATCTTAACGGAGACCTCACCAAAGAAATAGACAGCTGCAAATAAGCACATGAAAGATACTCAACATCATTTGTAACTGGGAAATTTCACATTAAAGCAACAATGAGACACCACTATCCACCTATTAGAGTGGAGATAATAATAATAATAATAACAATAATAAAATAAAATAAAAATCTGACAATGCTAATTGCTGGCAAGGATGTTTAACAACAGGAACTCTCATCGCTTGTGGAAATGAAAAATGATACAGCTACTTTAAAAGACAATTTGGCAATTTCCTACAAAGCTAAACATAGTCTTATCTTTCAATTCCAAAATCACACTCCTACATATTTATCCAATTGATTTTAAAACATGTCCACACAAAAGCTTACACATGAATGTTTGTAGCAGCTTTGCTTATAATTGCCCCACAAAAAGTCTTAAATGGATATTGGTAAGTGAAAGAAGCCACTTTGAAAAGGCTCTATATTGCATGATTACAATTATATGACATTCTGGAAAAGTCCAAAGTATAGAAACAATAAAGTGATTAATGTTTGCCAGGAGTTCAGGGGTAAGGAGAAAGGAATGAATGGTTGAAGCACTGGGAATTTTTAGGGCATCAAAATTATTCTGCATTCCACTGGGGATCTTGTGATAGATGTGAGACATTATGCATCTGTCAAATTCACAGAACTTTACGGCACAAAAAGTGAAGTTAAGTGTACGCAAAGTTAGAAAAAAAAATCTTATAGCAGGTTGGGGGAACCCAGGATGGAATACAGAATGGGACAAGACAATCCAACTGCTTTACAAATGTATGAAGGGGGAAAGGTGTGTAGGGGGGAAAGATACTGAACTATGTAATTTTGGAAATGAGTGGAATATGTAAGACTGTACTCGAGTTGATAAAGTTGTTGACCATAGGGGTGTAGTTTAATAATTCTGATACCACTATAATGTATCCTGGGATTAAACAACTAAGCAAATGGATGGCAATGGTGGGAGATAGGTTTTTCACTGCTGACAAAGGAGTTTAGAGACGAGCAAGAGGAATAGACTAAAATGATCCATGGGGTCTAATTTATATTAGAGTTGGGGACATCAGTATGAACTTACATTTAGCATAGTGTAGATACAGATGGTGACGTATAGAAATGCACACATACAGCTTAGGATACACACACATATTTTCTTGCTCTGTTAGCTGAGGGCCTGAAACAATGAAAACCCTAGTAGCAACGAGTATAACTACCCAGATCTGGGCTTGTAAAATTGTTTTCTAGTAAAAGGAACAGGGCTTCTTAGAGAAATGGCTGATTCTAGGATTGGGCAGGAAATATAGAAGATGAGTCTGGAGCATCTTATAGTCGCATAAACTAAAAAACATAAAACCAACAATGATGGGATGTGTGAAAGAGACACAAAAGTCAACCGAAAAAGCTCCCAGTGACCAGAGCTAGAGCAAGTTGAGCAACAGAATAAATTGTATTGGATTATAACCCAAAACATAACATGAATATTCATGAGTCACACTGATAAATGAATTAGTGAATAAGTGAAGAAATAAATGAGGTAGAATAGACAAATCCTCATACAGAAGAATTCCAAATAATTTATACAGGTATTCCACTCTCAAGGAGATGGTACATAACTTTCCACTCCTTAAGGGTGGACTTTGTAAACTTTCTTCCCGAATATACAGTATGGAAAGGGGAGAGAAGAGTAAAAGAGTAAGTCTTCTGTGGAGACACATCACAAACACTACCTCAGCCAGGTGATCAAGATTAATATCAACAATGATAAGTCATGTTCACGCTATATACCCTTGAGAAGATGTAGTGAAATTTTTACTTTATCCGATGGTCTTCCTCCTCAGAACTTAGAGCGGAAATCAATTAAACTGGAAACAGAAAAAGCTAAAGAAAATCAATGGAGCTTAAAGCTGATTCTTCGAAGAGATCCTAAAATTGATATGCTTCTAGTCAGGCTTAATCAAGAAAAAGAGAAGACAGAAATTACCAATATCAAGAAGAAAATAAGAGATATCATTAATGGTCCCACAGAATTTAAGGTATAATAAAGCAGATATGAACAACGTTAAGTTTCTGATTTTAACTATTTACGTGTAATTAATTAATTCCTTGAAGACACATCAAATTCCTTAAAGAAATTATTAAAACTCACTCAAGCACAGATAACCTGAATAATCTCATAACAATGAAAGAAATTGGATTTGTAGTTAAAAACCTTCTGAGAAAGAAAAATCCAGGCCCAAATAGTTTCCCTAACAAATTGTATCAAATATTGAAAGGAAGAAATAATACCAAATTCCTCAAAATGTCTTCCAGAAAACAGAAGAGGGACACTTACTAATTCATTCCACAAGACCAGCATTACTCAAACACCAAAACCAGAGAAAGAAACTACAGAACGGTATCTCGTGAATATAGATCAGAATTCCTCAATAAAATGTTTTTAAATTGCATCCAGCAATATATAAAAAGTATAATGTATCATGATTAAGAGAGGTTGGTTTAACATTGGATAACCAGTTAATATAATCTGATGCATTGACAGACTATAGAGAGAATACCATCTCAATAGAAGCAGCAAAAGCATTTAATAAATTTCTACGTTCTTCCATGGTAACAGCACTTAGCAAACTAGGAATAGAAAGGAATTTCCCTGACCTAATAAAGGGCATCTACAAAACCAAAACAAACAAACAAACAAACCCAAACCAAAAAACAAATCTACTTGCTTGTATCATATTGAATGATGAGACATTAAATTTTTCCCCTAAGATCAAGAAAGGCAAGTATGTCTCATCAGTCCTATTCAATCATGTATAATAAGGCAAGAAAAAGAAATGTGGTACATAGAGGTTAGAAAAGAAAAAAATAAAACTGTCTCAGTTCATGGACAATGTGTCTATGTAGAAAGCTCAGGGGTTTATACAGAAGTGCCTGGAACTAATAACACAAGTTAGCAAGGTTGTAAGATGAAAACTCAATATAAAACAGTCAATTGTATTCCTCTTCATTAGCAATAAAAAGAAGGGGGGGGGGAACTATTGATTCAACAATTCAAGTGTTGATTCACACAACAATACAAATGAGGCTTATTTGCATTTTGTCGGGTGAAAAAAGCCAGACTCCAAAGTCCAAATATTTCATGATTACAATTCTATGATACTCTGGGAAAGGGAAAATTATTAGAATTGAAAGCAAATCAGTGGTTGTCACAGTTTCAGGAGGGGTTGGTTACAAAGTGTAAAAAAATTAACTAAGATGTTGGGGGATGTAGGATGGAATGAAGACAGATTATAACTGCATTTCAAATGCATGACATAACCTCACTGAAGGGGTTAGAGAAAAGGGAACTGACCTAAATTACTTTAGAAATGAGTGTTTGGATATTCTAAGGATAAAGACAATAAAGAACTGTACATAGAAATTATATTCTTGTTGGTAAATTAGAGCCTCATGGGGTTAGCAATTCTGAAACTAACTTACATTTATGTGAGGGTTAAGCAAATAAGTGAATTAACTGTATTAATAAGAACCAGATTTCTCACTGTCAGAGAAAGAAGTTCAACATAAGCAGGGGTGGGGAAGCTAACTCTGTTCCCTAAAAGGGCCTATAAGCCGTGAGCATACCTAGTGCCCAGATCTTAGTTCTAAATACCATTTGGGGAGAAGAAAAAAAGGAAGTGAGAAAATGACTCTTTCTATGGCTATATTATAAGGTTGATGATACAGTGTGATGACAACAGTATTGACCTTTGTGGTATTCTCCCCCAAATCTATATTCACTGTCTGATCATGAGAAAACATCAGGCCAATACAGATTGAGGGTCAGTCTACTAAAATCCCTGACCAGCACTCTGCCCAAGTATCAAGGTCATGGAAAAAAAAAAAAAAGATTCAAACAGTCACAGATGGGGTGAGACTAGGGAGAATTGATGAATAAATGCATCTTGCTATACCGGATGGATCCTGGAACATAAAAGGGACTTTTAGTG